CAGTAGGGATCCCATTCTACCGCACAGACCTCTCACGCCTCTCCCTCCTCTGGCCTGGGACCCTAGCCCTCTCTAGAACACCACATGGAATGATCCTCTGACCTAGGGCTGTGACTGAGCCCTGGCACAGGGGCCTGGGATGGGCCCCTTTCTGATTCTCCAGCTAAACACTCACCCAGTGCAAAAGAAGTCAGGATTTTCGCAGCCTCAGAGAGCAGGAACCCAGGCAACAACAAGCCAGCTAGCAGTAGCGCCTGCTGCCCCACCATGCTCGCTCCTGTCCCAGCTGCAGATTCCAGCCTGGTGCCCAGAGCCCTATGCTCTGTGCCTCTGTGTCCTGCACAGTGACCTGTGTGCGTGCCCTGGGACACACGCTGCCCTGGCTGCCAAGGAAATGCGCTGGCAGGCAGCTTGGGAAGAGGTGAGAGGTGGATCCTGCCTGCCTTCTCTTCTGTTTGTCACTTCTGGCCCCTCTGCTCCGCCTCCTGGGTGCTTGCTCCACAGGCTATTAGGTCCTCACCCTCCCTAAGCTAAGGCAGCAGGAAGGAGGGGTTAGTGAGCTCTCCTTAACCCCTCTCTGTCCCTGTAATCACCACACTCTCCCCAGAGAAGATACTCTGAACCAGGAATGATAGAGACCTTAGGATGTCACTTCCAAGTGAGCTCCACCTCCAGGTGACTCAGACCCTTCTCCGTTTTAGTGACCTTTCCCCAAATGTTCCCACCTCCTAACTGCACTATTGACCTCATACTGTCATCCCCGTGCCCCATTTCCCCAGGTACCTGCTTAAAACCTCCGCGAGTCTTCCAATCTCAAGATCCCAGAAGCTGATTCCAAGAAGAAAATGACCTACACTTACTGCTCAGGGAGTTTCTTTGGAAAGTACCTACTGGTGAAAGTGCTAGGGTCCCCTACGTGTTAAATACCCCTGGAGGGCCAGGTCTTGACCTGAAGGACTGAACCTCTAAGGCTAAGTCTGTAATTCTGAATGGGCATGACAAAATAGGACTCGGTAGTGGGCACCAAGAAGTTCTATTCTTCTAAGTGTTTGAAATTTCTCATTAGAAACGTGGTAAAACTCTCCCAACCTATTACTCCACTTTCCCCTCATACTATATGATTACATGCATGCACATTCACAATTTTCATCTGTTCAGGTAGCGTATCTTCCCAGTGAAAACATTAATCTGCATTAGGGAGACACCATTTAATATTAATGTAATCACATTACTTTGTCTACAATCCTTACTTCCATCCCTCCAGTTGTGCACACAGTATCCTATGTTGTGACAGGAATTCTCTGGTGCAGGAGCCAATTCAGGATCACACATTGCATTTAGTTATCATGTGTATTTCATCTCCTTTAGCAAGGACTGGTTTCTCAACCCTTCTTTTCCTTTCGTGTGATTGATATTTTAAGAGTACCAGCTGTTTATTTTCTATGATGGATCCCCAGTTGGGTTTGTTTGATGTTTTCTCAGAATACTTCAGGTTACTAGGGAGTTTGGTGGGATACCAAACTAACTAGGGAGTTAGATGGTCCTCTATCATTAGAGATGATAACTCTATCCCTTATTTAAGGTGGTGTTCATCAAGATTCTTGACTGTAAAGCTGGTATTTTTTTACCCTATAATTAGGAAATCAGATTTGGGGAGACATTTTGAAACTGTGTAAATATTCTGTTCCTATCAAATTTCACTCACTCATTTTATCAACTGTTTTGTTTCTTACTTAAAGCAATTGTAGCTGTCACGGTGGCCAATTAGTGATTTCTAACTGCACTTTTCTTTGTTTTGTTTTGTTTTTTTTTCCATGTGGCATTGTATTGTTACAAAACCTTTTCCTTTGTCCCTATCCACCTATCATCTATCTATTTTCTATCTGTATCAATCTATTATCATTATTTATTCATCTCTCTGTATTTATTCAGTGGGGTATTATCTCTTCCTATTATCATGTATTGGGTTGCTGCTGTTGAAACTCAACCATTTTGGAGCTTTTCCTTTCTTGCTTGCACACAATTTCTAGACTCCACTCGAACTTTTTTTGTTTCTGTCTTCAAATCTTCCATTTCTCAAAGTCACCTAATGGTATTTTAAAAAATAGGTGTGAGGGGCGCCTGGGTGGCTCAGTCGGTTAAGCGGCCGACTG